TTACCCAGGCTGGTCTTGAACTCCTGGGCTCCAGTGATCCTCCCGCCTCAGCCTCCCAAAGTGCTGGGATTAAAGGTGTTGGCCACAAAGCCCAGCCTAATTTTTAAATTCGGGTCTCTGTTTTTATGCTGAAAATCTTGTTGCTAAGGACATTAACATAATTATTTGTGCACATATAGTAGTAGAGGATAGTAATTGCATGCACACACACAATTTCAAAATAACAATACCAGTATCATTACTACGAAGATTCCTAAGCACTGTTTAAGATTCCTCGGTACTTCTTGTCCTTGGGATATACTGCACCAGGTAAGAAATGAAAAATCCTGTGTCTAAGATAACATGAAAAAGTCCTTCTGTGGCTGGGCGTGGTGGCTCACGCCTGTAATCCTAACACTTTGGGAGGCCAAGGCAGGCGGATCACTTGAGGTCAGGAGTTCGACACCAGCCTGACCAACATGGAGAAATCCCATCTCTAGTAATAATACAAAAACTAGCTGGGCATGGTGGCACATGCCTGTAATCCCAGCTACTCAGGAGGCTGAGGCACGAGAAAGGCTTGAACCCGGGAGGCGGAGGTTGCAGAGAGCCAAGATCGTGCCATTGCATTCCAGCCTGGACAACAAGAGCGAAACTGTCTCCAGAAAAAAAAAAAAAAAAGTCCTTCTGTGTTTACGCCACTGCCCTATGTACAATTGTTCAATTGTGCTGCAATATTTTTATGTTGAAACATCAGTTGCATTTTATGTTTCAGGGATGCTTTTTTCCTTCCTTACTTAACGTTCCAAAGTTAAAACTAGCAAACAGGGTACATCCAGAAAACTCCATCTTCCCACCCTACCCTCAGCACACTTCCTCTTTTTAGGAAACCATTTTAATTTAGTTTTTGTTTCTTTTTCCCTTGTTTGTGCTTGGAAACATAAACAAAGACTTAACAATATTCATATTTCTAACTCTTCTTGTGCCATCTGTAAAATCACTTTTTTCAGGTTTAAAAATGTGGCCTAGAGGCCAAGGGCAATGGCTCTCTCCTGTAATCCCAGCACTTTGGGAGGCCAAGGCAGGCAGATCATCTGAGGTCAGGAGTTCGAAACTAGCCTGGCCAACATGGCTAAACCCCATTCCTACCAAAAATACAAACACTAGCCAGGGCGTTGGTGGCATACACCTGTAATCCCAGCTACTCAGAAGGCTGAGGTAGAAGAATCCCTTGAGCCTGGGAGGCAGAGGTTGCAGTAAGCTGAGATCACACTACTGCACTCCAGCCTGGGTGACAGAGCGAAACACCATCTCAAAAACAAACAAAAAAAATGTAGCCTAGAGATTGTTCCTTCTGCAGTTCTCCGTTGTATGAATAGCACTGGTTCAGGCAACCAATCCCCAGCTGATGGACATTTGCATTTTCTCCTGGATTTTGCCGTGAATAACAGCATGAATGGCTTTTTTGCAAGTCTCCATTAAGAATAGATTTTCAGGGGTGGGAGGGTTGGGTCCCTGGGCGCAGGTGGGGATAGTCCCATTTCCATCTTTATTCCCTTGTCTGCCTCCCCACGTGAAAGTAAGTGAGCTCCCTGGATGTGCCATCCACTCTGTGTCTCTAATTCATTATAGACACGCATATCTGGTAGAAAGAATGAGTCTCACCATGTCACTCCCCTGGTGAAACGCTGCAGTCACTGCCATCACCCACAGGGTAAAATCCAAAACCTTCTAGCGGCACGGAAGATACTAGTGATGGCCTGACCTCCCCTGTCCACACCCCTCCTTCCATGCCAGCATCCTTGAACTTGGTCCTCCGACCACGCCAAATTGCTTCCACTTCCCAGGTGTCTTCCCATCAGCACAGGCTACACTCTCAGCTTACAAAACCACCACCCTTCCCTGACTTGATTCCCCAGGTGAACTCTTTCTCAGCCTTCAAAACCCAGGACAAGCACCTGGATTTTAAATACAGGTATTCCCTCCACCATAGGGTGATAGGGTGGTTGTTTATTTCAGTGTCTGTCCTGCTCACCAGAGCTGAGCTGTAGGAGTGCGGGGTTGTCCTCACCCATCTCTGAACCCCCAGCACTTAGTGCTATGTCTGGCTCAGAGCAGGTGCCCAAGAAACCTTGTTGAGTTGTTGAGAAATTCTGAGTGTATGAGAAAATTATACTGTTTGCTAGGAAGAACGACAGCAAGGAAAACCTGGCCACCCCCCACCCCCTCCACCACCCCCACCCCCATCCTCCCACCTGCCAGGCTCCCCTTCCCCCACACCCTGCAGGGGAAAACTGCTTGGGGCATTCTAAAGTAGCAAGACAGCATATGTATATGATACACGAGTTAAAACAATCCTTTAAGCACGGGTTATGTGACCTGTCCCCAGGGCTCCCTTGTGGAGAATACTTTCTAGTTTGTCCGTGATCAGTGGTAAGCAGGCACCAGCTGCCCACCTAGTTTATCTTGGTTCTATGAGAAAACACAGAACACCTGTTTGATAATAATAATCACCTGTTCAGAGAGAATAACTATGTGGGGCAGCATCTGCTCGAGGCCCTCCGCCTGGAATTCTGTCAGCTACTGAGGCTCTCAGCTCGGAAGGCTGTTGGCCCCCGGATAGTCCCACTTTGCTGTTCTATCTGGGTGTCTGCTTCTTAAAGCCTTCAGCACCACCTGGGTGGGGGTCTCTACAGCCAAGTTGGTCATGGTTTTGAGTGAATGAAAGGGAGGTTTCCTATGATTAAAAGACTTGGGTTCAAATCCTGACTTTTTTTTTTGAGACAGAGTCTCGCTCTGTCACCCAGGCTGGAGTGCAGTGGTTGGATCTTGGCTCACTGCAACCTCTGCCTCCCAGGTTCAAGCGATTCTCCTGCCTCAGCCTCCCAAGTAGCTGGTACTATAGGCGTGTACCACCACACCCCACTAATTTTTTTTGTATTTTTGGTAGAGATGGGGTTTCACCATGTTGGCCAGGATGGTCTCGATCCCCTAATCTTGTGATCCGTGTGCCTCAGTCTCCCAAAGAGGGGTTACAGGCTGGGATTACAGGCATGAGCCACCTCGCCCAGCCCAATTCCTGGCTTTTCACCTGCCACCTAGGAGATCTTGGGCAAGTTGGCATCTTGGTTTGCTTTCTGTAAACTGGGATAATGCAAGCTCTCTGAGGGTGGCCCTCGGGGCTGAAGGCAGTCACTGTGGTGGAAGTGCTTAGGATATGATCAATAACGACATGGAAGAAAAAGGTGACAGAAGCAGAAGGAATTCAGAAGAGCCAGAGCGAGCTCAGTCAGAGGTGAGGAGGAAGCTATGGCGTGGGTAAGTAAGGGGCGTTGATTAAGGGAATGCATAAGTGACCAAGAAAAATAGTAGCAGCTGGGTGTGGTGGCTCATGCCCATAATCCCAGCACCCTGGGAGACCAAGGTAGGAAGATAACGTAACCCCAGGAGGTTGAGGCTGCTGTGAAGCTAGGATCACCACTGCACTTCAGTCTGGACAACAGAGTAAGACCCTGTCTCAAAAAAAAAATAAAAATAAAAAATAGGCCAGGCACGGTGGCTCACGCCTGTAATCCCAGCACTTTGGGAGGCTGAGGTGGGCAGATCACGAGGTCAAGAGATTGAGACCATCGCGGCCAACATGGCAGAACCTCGTCTCTGCTAATAGATACAAAAATTAGCTAGGCGTGGTGGTGTGAACCTGATCCCAGCTACTTGGGAGGCTAAGGCAGAAGAATCGCTTAAACCCAGGAAGTGAAGGTTGCAGTGAGCTGAGATCACACCACTGCACTCCAGCCTGGCAACAGAGCAAGACTCCGTCTCAAAAACCAAAAATAAAAATAATGGCCACTCTTCTGGGTACTTCTCAGTGTTATTTAATGAAGCCACAGCCCTGTGAGACAGGCCATGTTATCATCTGACATGACTCACGGGATGCCTGAACCTGGATCTGGTAACAAGGCCCAGGCACCATTTGACCAACGAGGGGGTTTGCAGTGAGGTCCCCTCTCCTCCCTCCCTCCCATCCTGGGAGCCCTTCTTCTTTCTCGTAGGAAGTAGAAAAGATCCTCTTTAAAGTTTCCTTTCTTGTTAAAGAATAAGTGTGCTAATAACTGTTTGTGAAGCCCTATCCTACGTAGCTGTTAGACCTGCCATGCTTATAGGCACGTAGTACATTCTATGTCCTTGTACTTTAACCAAGACACCTGTGCTGGACATGCTCACAGGCATGTCCCAGCTCTCCACTGCTTTTACCTGTTTAGAAAAGTTTTAAGTTGTTAGCCAATCGGGTTTTAGTTTAAATTGTGAGGTCTGGCTCCAGGCAACGGAGATCAAACATAGCAGTAAGTACGACCCCAAATGCGTAAGCGATAAACATGTCTGTTTTCCTTTGTTCATCGTACACTCGTGGCAAGATGGCCAGTGAGAGTACCCTTCCTGCAGTCCAGGAAGTAAAAATCGTGTTGCCGAGAGCTCCTTTGTCTCAGCACTGGTTTTCTTTGCGGCACTGAGCATCTGTTCCCAACATGTCTTCTCCTGTTTTTTCTTTGGCTCACAGTCACTCCTCCAAACTCCCCCACTGACCAATTCTCGATATAAGAATCTCTTTCCAGGCCCGGCGTGGTGACTCACGCCTATAATCCCAGCCCTTTGGGAGGCCGAGCCAGGAGGCTCACCTGAGATCAGGAGTTTGAGACCAGCCTGGCCAACATGTTGGAACCTTGTCTCTATTAAAAATACAAAAATCGGCTGGGCGTGATGGTGCACATCTGTAATCCCAACTACTCAGGAGGCTGAGGAAGGAGAATTGCTGAAATCCAGGAGGCAGAGGTTGCAGTAAGCAAGATTGCACTACTGCATTTCAGCCTAGACAAAAAAGTGAGACTGTCTCAAAAATAAAAAAACCTCTCTTTTTATTAATCTTAGTCTTGGAAAATCCCTCCCACCTTGATCTGTGTCCCCTCACCTGTGTGTGTGTGGGGGGGAGGGGGCAGGCAGGACAAAGAAGGGATATTGGAAAGACATTTTTAAATGACAAATTTCCAAAATTTTATTACATCCATTGCTAAAGGAAAGTTCAGGCTGGTTTATAATTTAGACAGGTCAACATGTATGATTCGATGGGAGAATAGTTAGGGTTCTATTTCCTTTAAATTTCTATTCCAGTCAGTTTCCACTGGTGATGTCTAACTCAGACCCCTTCTCATGCATGGGAGCCATCTCACTTCCTGTCCAGGATGATAGTTTCCCCTCTTTTAGTCAGAAACTCAACAGCTGCCCCAGAGGGAGCAGCGTGTTCCAGACACACATGATTTCTTAGACAGGGCAGGGTGTGGCTGCAGGGGACGGGCACCTCCTCCAGTTAGATCTGGCTTCAAGCTAGTTAATATTGGGTCTTTCCTCTGTTCCATGCTCTTCTTAAGTACTCAAGATCTTTCTCAATCTTATGCAGGTAAAACGAATTCAGAGCCTAGAGTATAGTCCATAAAAAGAAGAGTTAGTTGGAAATGGTTAAATCTTGTACAGTCCTCACAAAAACAGAGAATGGGGATGGCCAGACACCATATCAGCATCGTATTTTGGGGAAGTCTTTTGATTCCTTAGAATACTCTCCGCATGCCCACTGCATTGGCTTTAAGCATCTTCGCTGTGTTTGAACCCGGAGCCAAGCATGGCATGTTGAGGAGGGGTGCATTCTTGCACTTTGGTCTCTTCCGGGATGCCCAGTGCCCCTCACCTGAGGAGATATAGGTGTTTTCTAGTAAATACATTGCCAGACGTCCGTATTTGGACACTGTCTTGTTTTTGTAACTGACCTTGGTTTCTCAGGTCATTCCTTGTGGGTGGGTTAATCATATCAACCTCACTGGGGTACAGTTCTCTACAGAACAGTGAAATACCATGAGTCACACAGCTGGGTTGACCAGAGCCAATCACTGCTACATAGAAATCTGGACTGGCCAGGCGCAATGGCTCATGCCTGTAATTGCAGCATTTTGGGAGGCTGAAGTGGATGAATTGCTTGAGCTCAGGAGTTCAAGACTAGCCTGGGCCACATGGCCAAACCCCTTCTCTACCAAAAAAAAAAAAAAATACAAAAATTAGAGTGTGGTGGTACATGCTACTCCCAGATATTTGGGAGGCTGAGGTAGGAGGATTGCTCAAGCCCTAGAAGTCGTGGATGCAGTGAGCCAAGATAGTACCACTATGGTTCAATTCTCCAGCCTGAGTGAAAGAGTGAGACCCTATCTCAAAAAAAGAAAAAGGAAAAGGAAAAAAGTCTGAGGCCAGGCACGGTGGCTCATGCCTGTCATCCCAGCATTTTGGGAGGCCGAGTGGGTGGATCATCTTAGGTGGGGAGTTCAAGACCAGCCTGACCAACATGGTAAAACCCTGTTTCTACTAAAAAGACAAAATTAGCAGGGCATGGTGGTACATGCCTGAAATCCCAGCTAATCGGGAGGCTGAGGCTTGAATCCGGGAGGTGGAGGTTTCAGTGAGCCAAGATTGTGCCATTGCACTCCAGCCTGGGTAACGAGAGCAAAACTTCGTCTCAAAAAAAAAAATCCGGGCCTGAGAGAAGGTGGGCCAAGATGATGGCCAGTCCTCTATTTTATAATGAACAAAGGGAGGCCACAATTCAGGTTCCCTGAGGGTCGGGAAGCCCTCCGATGCTGTGCTGGGAGTTGAAGTAATAAATCCTAAACAGCAATTCTCAGTGGACCTCCAGGCAGATCGCAGCTTGGAGTACCTCAGTCTGGGGCAGGTACCTAGAACACCTGAGCTCCCTCGTGAGGAGATGCTGGAGTGACCCTCTAGTGGAAAAAGCATTTCAGATGTGGCATAGGGAAAGATATGCAGTCTGTTAGTGCCTATAGAATAGCCTAAAATTGCTTTCGGGATAGCAGGGCAAACATGGCAACATTTAGAACTAGGAGACAGGCCGGCGTGGTGGCTCATGCCTGTAATTCCAACACTTTGGGAGGCCAGGCAGTTGGATCACCTAAGGTCAGTAGTTAGAGACAAGCCTGGCCAGCATGGTTAAACCCCGTCTCTACTAAAAATACAACAGTTAGCCAGGCGTGGTGGAGTGTCCTGTAATCCCAGCACTTTGGGAGGCCAAGGCTAGCGAATCATGAGGTCAGGAGTTCAAGATCAGCCTAACATGGTGAAACCCCATCTCTACTAAAAATACAAAAATTAGGCCAGGCACGGTGGCTCATGCCCTGTAATCCCAGCACTTTGGGAGGCCAAGGCTAGCGGATCATGAGGTCAGGAGTTCAAGACCAGCTTGGCCAACATGGTGAAACCCTGTCTCTACTAAAAACAGAAAAAATTAGCTGGGGGTAGTGGCGGCCACCTGTAATCCCAGCTACTTGGGAGGCTGAGGCAGGAGAATTCCTTGAACTTGGAAGGCGGAGGCTGCAGTGAGCCAATGAGATTGTGCCACCGCACTCCCACCTAGGCGACAGAGCGAGACTTCGTCTCAAAAAATTAAAAAATTTTAAAAACTAGGAAAGAGACCCGTGAGTCTAAGCTCCCTTTGTTGAGCCTGCTTGCAATTGGACCTGTTGAAAATGACATCACCTTTGGAAGTGACAACACCTTTGCTGTTAATGTCATATACGATATAATACAGGGAATGATCACTGTAGCTGGTGTCTGTTTTTCCCCTCTGTTAGTATTGTATTGGAGGAGTCAGTTGATACAAGAGTAAACAGTAAATGAACCAGGAAGGAAAGATGGGGAGAAAATCACAAATAAACCTTATTGGAGTTGAGGATGGTAATTTAAGTTTTAAAAGGTACATATAAAGGTGAGGTAAGCCCAAACGAGGTGGCTCATGTCTATAATTCCAGCACTTTGGGAGGCTGAGGTGGGACGATTGCTTGAGGCCAGGAGTTTGAGACCAGCCTGAGCAACATAGTGAGATTTCATCTCTACAAAAAAATACAAAAAAAAAAATTAGCTGAGTGTGGTGGTGTGTGCCTGCAGTCCCCCTACTGGGAAGGCTGAGGTGGGAGGGTCACTTGAGCCTGGACGGTTGAGGCTGCAGTGAACTGTGATTGTGCCACTGAGCTCCAACCTGGTAACAGTGTGAGATCTCATCTCAAAAAGAAAGTGGGATAATACTGAGTAAACAATATTGATAGGAGACTGATTCTACTGTATTGGAAAATGTAAAAGTATCAGGAATGGTTAACAGAACAGTTTGTAAAGACAATGGTTTTGGGGACTGTGTACAGTTCACTACAACTTTACAGAAAGACAAAATGAAGAAGAGGAGGTTGTGAAATATTTACATTCTCGCCAACACAGAAATGAGGTGAGGCAAGGACACAGTTGGAGCCTCCAAGGAACTGAAGGATGCAGTGGAGGCTGGACTGCCCGCCTACTTCCAGCATGCTGGGGTCTGGGGCCTGCACCCCAGGCAGATGTGGTAAACTCTCTGTGGTCTAGTTAACTCCACCTTGAGAGAATGTATAGGAGGCATTCGGGGTGGGTTCATAACACAGACTAAGATCAAGATGTACAGGAAATAACCTGAGTGGGGTTAACAAGGTTAACTTGGCCGGGCACGGTGGCTCATGCCTGTAATCTCAGCACTTTGGGAAGCCAAGGTGGTTGGATCACTTGAGATCAGGAGTCCAAGACCAGCCTGGCCAACATGCCAAAACCCCACTGCTCTTTAAAAAATACAAAAATTAGACCGGCCTGGTGTCAGGTGTTCGTAATCCCAGCTACTGGGGAGGCTGAGGCAGGAGAATCACTTGAACCCGGGAGGCGGAGGTTGTAGTAGTGAGACAAGATTGTACCACTGCACTCCAGCCTGGGCGGCAGAGCTAGACTCTGTCTCCAAAAAAAAAAAGTAACTTGAACCTACGCTGTTATGCGAGCTTCTGGATGTTGCGGTCATCTTGCTTCTCCTATGGTATCTAGCCAAGACTAGGTAGGTGATAAATCACGTAGTTGTCTCTCGCATTCCTGCCTGGACTGGGAAGAAGTCATCACCCTCTGCCTGAGTCCTGTGCAGCTTGGCCCATCTGAGCCTCCTGCTACTGAAATGACTCTCCTTCCCTTACTATTGCCAGAAGAGATGGGTCCACCTAGAGGAAGGAGCAAAACAGGAGTTAACCAACTGCAGAATGTAAGCAACAGTCGATCCCACTCACCCTGGTTCGGGAGGTACACGAAATTGGATTCCACTACTCTGTGGTTCAGGGGCTGGGTCCTGCGGTAATCATTCTGGATGGTCTTGTTGTGGTGATCCAGTAAGGAATTCTCCAGCTTCCAAACCTGGGGCAATGTGAGTGCATTAGAGAGGGGAGAGGCACTGGGTAATTTAAAAGAAGTAACAATTGGCCAGGCACGTGGCTCACGCCTGTAATCCCAACACTTTGGGAGGCCAGGGCAGGCAGATGACTTGAGCAAAGGAGTTAGCCAACATGGAAAGACCCTTTCTCTACTAAAAATACAAAAATTAGCCGAGCACTGTGGCAAGCACCTGTAATCCCAGCTACTCAGGAGACTGAGGCAGGAGAATTGCTTGAACCCAGGAGGTAGAGGCTGCAGTGAGCCAATTTCATGTCACTGCACTCCAGCCTGGGAGACAGAGCAAAACTGTCTCAAAAAAAAAAAAAAAATTAACCACCAGGCTAGAGCTTGGATTTATATAACCCTGATAAAGCGACTGTAAGAAGATCTCAAGTCCAGGGAGGTTCTGGGTGCTGCTGAAGGGCATGACTTGGAACTCATCTCTCTGCATTCTTCCAGCAGGTATCTGCACACAATCTCCTTTCAGCTTTTTATATGAGTCTTTGTCCAATAGTACAAAGGAGAGAAAGAAGTAAGCAGAAATATATCAAGTGGCAAACTCAGTTTTTGTTTTTAAAAAAGGTCTGGTTTTTTTTGTTTGCTTTTGTTTTTTTTAGACAGTCTCGTTTTGTCGCCCAGGCTGGAGTGCAGTGGCGCAATCTCGGCTCACTGCAACCTCTGCTTCCCAGGTTCAAGTGATTCTCCTGCCTCAGCCTCCCAACTGGCTGGGACTACAGGTGCCCACCACCATGCCCAGCTAATTTTTATATTTTTAGTGGAGACGGAGTTTCACTGTGTTGGCCAAGCTGGTCTCAAATTCCTCAGGCCATCCGCCTGCCTCTGCCACCCATAGTGCTGGGATTACAGGCATGAGCCACCTCACCCAGCCTGAAAATGTCTGTATTTTGTCTATATCCTTGAAAGGCACTTTTGCTGCACATTCAATGCTATACTGGCTATTTATTTTCCTCAGCACTTTGGAATTATGTTTCCACTCCCTCTGACTTTCACTGTTGCTATGTTGAATCAACTCTCTGTCTAATAATACTCTGCATGACAATCTGTCTTTTCTCTCTGGCTGATTTTTAAATTGTTTCTTTGTCTTTGGTGGTTTCACTGTGATGGGTTTAGCGCAGGGAGTTGGGTATTCACACACGTGTATCTATACACGCCCAGAGAGAGAAACTAATTGGCATTCTTGAATATATGACTTGGTATCTCTTCCTGAAAATTGTCAGCCAATATTTTGTCAAATCATGCCTCTTCCCTGCTCTGCCTCTCTTCTTCTAGGATTTCGATTGGACATTTACTAGACCTTTCCACTATACTACGTCTCTTCACTTCTTTTTATAGCTCCATCTCTTTTTCTCTTTGTGCTGCATTCTAGATAATGTTATTGGCTTTCTCCAATTTACTAATTCTCTCTCAAACTGTATCTAACATGCTGTTAAATGCATTCATTGGGTTATTTATATATTTATTTATTTTGGAGACAGAGTCTCACCCTGTCGCCCAGGCTGGAGTGCAATGGCGTGATCTTAGCTCACTTCAACCTCCACCTCCCAGGTTCAAGTGATTTTCCTGCCTCGGCCTCCCGAGTAGCTGGGATTACAGGTGTGCCACCCAACACGCCCAGCTAATTTTTTGTATCTTTAGTAGAGACGGAGTTTCTCCATGTTGGCCAGGGTGGTATTGAACCCTTAACATCGTTATCTGCCTGCCTCAGCCTCCCAAAGTGCTGGGATTACAGGCATGAGCCACCATTTCTGGACAAATTTTTTTTTTTTTTTTTTAGACAGAGTTTACTCTGTCACCCTGGCTGGAGTGCAGTGGTGCAATCTCAGCTCACTGCAACCTCTACCTCCCGGGTTCAAGTGATTCTTCCACCTTAGCCACCCAAGTAGCTGGGATTACAGGTGCACACTACCACAACTAGCTAATATTTTGTACTTTTAGTAGAGAAGGGGTTCCACCATGTTGGCCAGGCTGATCTCAAACTCCTGGCCTCCCAAAGTGCTGGGATTATAGGTGTGATACACTGTGACAGGCCTGGATTGTTAACTTTTGATACTATTTTTCAATTTCTAGAAATTCTATTTGGGTTTTTTCCCAAGTCTGGCTGCCCATTTTAATATTTTTTCATTCTTATATTTAAACCTCTTTTTTTTATACATACCAAATCTTCTTATGTCATATTAATTGATAATTCCACTAACTGAAATCTTTGTAGGTCTGAATCTGCTGGTTCTCATTTACAATGTCTTTTTTTCTCAGATGTTTTGTGGGGTTTTTTCCTTAATTGAGCTAAGTTCAGGTAACTTTATTTGTGAAAATTCTTCTAGGTCTAGATTTAAGATCATTTTTCTGGAGATAATTGACCATTTGCTTTGTCAGGTGCCTGGGGACACTTCCAGCCTGATTGGCAACATTTTGGGGTGTGGGTGTCCTTGAGCAGGGGTCTTTTCCACCTTTTTCTAAAAAAATGAGAAGTTTAAGAAACGGAGATGGCCAGGTGCAGTGGCTCACACCTGTAATCCTAGCACTTTGGGAGGCTGACACAGGCAGATTGCTTGAACCTAGGAGTTCGAGACCTGTCTGGGCAACACAGTGAAACCCTGTCCCTACTAAAAATAGAAACTAGCCAGGCATGGTGATGCATGCCTGTAATCCCAGCTCGGGAGGCTGAGGCAGGAGAATTGCTTGAACCCAGGAGATAGAGGTTGCAGTGAGCTGAGATTGCACCACTTGAACCCGGGAGATAGAGGTTGCAGTGAGCTGAGATTGCACCACTTGAACCCGGGAGATAGAGGTTGCAGTGAGCTGAGATTGCACCACTTGAACCCGGGAGATAGAGGTTGCAGTGAGCTGAGATTGCACCACTGAGCTCCAGCTTGATGACAGAGTGAGATTCTGTCTCAAAAAAAAAAAAAAAAAAAAAAAAAGGAAAGGAAAAAAGATGGTTGGGTAGGTGAGGCACAGTAGCCCTGCATGCAGAAAATGCCATAGGATCCCCAGTTGTTGACGTGAGCTGAGATTCTGGGAACAGTCTTATTAACCAGGCAGTCAAAGGGCAAGACTTTGGCAAAGCGACACCGTACACTACCTGCGTCCTGGAGAGCTTGACAAAATCGGCCAGCACAAACCAGTGGACGTTCTCGGTGCAGGGAGGAGTGGTGAGCGAGCCCTGGTAGCTGTAGTAGTACTGGAGGTTCTTGGGCAGCATGTCCTGAATGTCAAGGCCAGTCAGAGTTGTGCTTTGTCCTAACCAAAAAGACGGAAGGTAATAGAATGTCAGGGACCGCCGCCACCCCTCAGGAGGACAGCTCAGGCCCAGGCCTCGCCAGATTCAATCTCTTGAGTTCAGCAGAACATAGAAGCTGATGATCGGGAAACAATTTCCCAGTGTACTCCTCCCTGGAAGGGATTGAGAGGAGAGGCTTTGGGGATAGAGGCACTCAGACACCTCCTCCTGGCTGAGTGGTCTTGGCCGGGTGCTCACTCCGCGGCCATTTCCTCATCTGTAAAAAGGGAATAATCAGCAGAATTGTTATGAGGGAAGGGGGAATAATGTCTGGAAAGCAGCTGGCATTGAACTGGTACATAGGGAAGTACTCCCAAGTGTAACTGCCGTGGTCACCATTAGCATGGCTAGGCAGAGGATACATTTTATGATCAGCGAAAGAAAGAAATATGGCCCCCGGAGGCTTCTCGGTAAGTGCCCTCGAAGGAAGACCAAAATGTCTTGGTTTGGGCTCATTGAGCAGTGGGTGGGCAGCAGTTATAACTGCAGAATCAGGCCTGGCGCAGTGCCTCACACCTGTAATCCCAGCACTTTAGGAGGCTGAGGCAGGTGGATCACGAGGTCAGGAGTTCGAGACCAGCCTGACCAACATGGTGAGACCCAGTCTCTACTAAAAACACAAAAATTAGCTGGGCATGGTGGCAGGCGCCTGTAATCCCAGTTACTCGGGAGGCTGAGGCAGGAGAATTGCTTGAACCCAGGAGGTGGAGGTTGCAGTGAGCCAAGATTGAGCCACTGCACTCCTGTCTGGGTTCCAGAGTGAGACTCCATCAGGAAGGGAAGGGGAGGGGAGGGGAGGGGAGGGGAGGGGAGGGGAGGGGAATAATAATTCTAATAATACCAGTTTAGCTGTCTATGGATTTCTGTCCCAACTGCATTCAGCTCTTTGGCTGCCGGCTCTGAGTTGGTCTGGGCTTTGCCAGGTGAGTTTGTGGAGGGGTGAAGATATAGAGGGTGTTTGCGTGGGAGTGTTGAGCGACCCTTGAGAGTGTTGGGGTGGGATAGCCTGTGGAATCTAAGCTGGGGGAGAAATGAAAGGACCAGGTGTCACCAGGAGTGAGACTGTGGAAGCCCCAGGGTCGGAGGACTCGGGTCAGGTGAGTTGCAGGAGGAGCCGGGTGCTGAAGTGAGAGGACTGAGAGGCTGGGAGGTGTGGCCAGAATGGGATGTGTGAGGTTGAGGATGCGGAGCTGATGTGGTTATAACTCAAGGTCTAGCGTTGACCCTGGGCAGGAGATTGCTCTCATAAGAAGGCTGCCTTCTGGAGGCAGAGCGGGTGGAAGAACACCCCCAGTGTCTGTATGTCCAAGTGGGATGACGAGCGGCTTCTCTCTTGACATTCACCTCAGCTTGGAACCAGGGTGAACATCTCTCTAGCGGCCAGGACTGTCACGGCCAGTTGGGAAAAGAGTCAACGAAGTGAGGCTATCCCTACTTAGTGGGACTCCCGCCAGAAGTTCCAGTCATGGGAATTGACACAGAATGTATGAGCAGGTTTCTCAGAGAAGTTTGCTGCCTAAGCCAACAGCAGGAATCACTGGAACAAGTGACCTTGCACAGGGAGGGGCGGACCCCTTGGCAGGCCCACTGGCCACCCTCCCCACCAGCACCAATCCCCTGCCCCGGGTCCACCCCACACTCACACTCTTGCTCATTCCCGTCCCTCCTGCAGCCGCAGTTGGCTTCCCTTACCTGGGTACTTGATGTCGGCCAGATGAGAAATGAAGCTGCTGTAGTAAGTGTTTTCAGGGTAATCCTTCACCTGCAGCAAAACACAGAGCACTGAGCATGAGTGAAGAGGAGGCCCCAGTCCACCATCTCTGCTAATCCTGCCCTTCAGCTTTCTAGCTGATTGGGCAGAGCCTAGAGAATAAGGAGAGGCAGCCTGTGCCCCTGCCATGTTCTGACGGAGACAATCTGAGTGTTCTTTGCTGCCAACTGCACAGGTTCATGCGTCTTTCCAGAAAGGCACTCTCTAAACTATTTTGGCAGCTTCCAGGGAACAAAGCTTCTCGGTCATTGGTGATGCCCTCAGAAATGGCCAATACTTACTCTAAAAAAATGTCCTCTGTGCGCTTGTTTTCTTTGTTGTTGTTTTTTGTTTTTGAGATGGAGTCTTGCTCTATTGCCCAAGCTGGAGTGCAATGGCACAATCTTGGCTTACTGCAACCTCTGCCTCCTGGGTTCAAGCAATTCTCCTGCCTCTGCCTCCTGAGTAGGTGGGATTCCAGGCACCTGCCACCATGCCCAGCTAATTTTTTTGTATTTTTAATAGAAATGGGGTTTCACTGTGTTGGCCAGGCTGGTCTCAAACTCCTGACCTCATAATCCACCGACTTTGGCCTCCCAAAGTGCTAGGATTACAGACATGAGCCACTGCGCCCAGCCTGTGTGCTTGTTTTGGGCAGTGTCAGCCACAGTCAGATTCTTTGTGATGAGGAGGGCTTCATCTTATGAGCTCCCTTTTTCATCCTGAGTACTTCCGACAGAGAGCCGGATGTCCGGGGCAAAACAACTACAATTCCCCCAACACTAGATCACTGTTTTCTGTGTGAGTATTGACTTTAAAAGTCAGAAAAGTTGCTTTGGGTGAAAAAGGTCTATTTTGAATGGCTATTTTCAGTCAAGTGGTGCTGATTCAAGTCTCTTTCGCTGTGTATAACTTTGGCTTTCTTGGCTTTATGACTGCATTTGCTATTTGTTTTCTGGATGTCTCGTGCCGTTTTTGTTCCGTTGGTCCACCTTTGCTGTCCTCTTTTGTGTTAAGCAAATACTTCTCATGTACCATTTAATCATTTTAATTATTTTCTTAGTAGTGGCTCGAGTGATTACCATATACAATTCAATCACAATCTCGGTCAGGTTAATATTAATTTCAGTAAAAGATAGCAACTTTGCTTCAAAAAAGCTGTTTCTTCCTCATCCTTTCTCCTATTTTTGTCATATGCATTACATCTACATATATTATAAGCCAGTGGTATATACAGTGGTATAGTCACTGCTTTCAATAATCTTAAGGGTTTTTAAAAAGAAATTAAAAGAAGAAAACGCACACCAAAAGAAGTATGTAGTCTTTTCCATTTTCCATTTCTAGTATGCTTCGCTTCTTTCTGTGGATCTGAGTTCCTGTCTGGTATCATTTTCTTTCAGCCAGAAGAATGTTCTTATATATGTCTTGCAAGATAGATCTGCTAACAGTTATGCTGGTTCTTGCATATCTGGGAATATCTTGGTTTCACCTTCAATTTTGAAGGGTAGTTTATTGGATAGCGTATTTGATTGACAGTCATTCCACTGTCTTCTGATGACTTGAAAAGTCAGCCATTAACTGCACTGTCATTCCCCTACATATAATAAATCCCTCTTCTCTTGCTGCTTTCAGCAGTTTGATTTTTGATGTATCTAGTCTTGGGGTTTATTTATAAGACTTGGTTTTCTTTAGTTTCTTGGATTGGTAATTTACGTTTTTCCTCATAGTTGAGGCTTTTGGGCCATTGTTTTGTTTTTTCCACTTTCTCTCCTCTCCTTCTGGGACTCCCCCATAACATATATGTTGCTATGCTTGATTTTGTCCCCATGAGTCTATAAGGCTGTTCATTTTTCTTTTTCATTTAGGTCATTTATCTTCCTTATAGTCCTGGGTTCAGTACATAGATGGCTTCTCTTCACCCTTTGGGTTGACAGTTTCCTCCAGGATGCTGTTGCTGATATGATAATGCTCAGCATAGAAGGCTCTCAGGTCCAGCACCACAGCCCTGAGCTCCCGATATGCTGCCTCATCACGCTCATGCACCAAGGCCTGGTAATCCATCCCATGAGTCTCCTTGGAGGCCTTGGCCACAGCATCGCCATGTTCTGAGAAGTACTTGAAAATGGTTGTCTGGAAAGCTTCCACTTTGGTCTTGACAGTATTCACCTTCTCTGGCAACTTCTCCTGGATTGCTACCCCAAAATCATTTTTATCTTCAATATTGAGGATCAGGTGCTGGATCCATGTGGTCACCAGAATGTATTTCTCTTTGAGAGTCCAGACTTCTGGCTTAACCAGGGCAAGCAGGGACAGGACCTTCTCATTCCCAGGGAGAAATCCACACGTAGGGACTTCTTTCTTCTCCTGCTTATCTGTTTCCATCTCATCTTCCTTGGGTGGAGGATCTGGGATGGGGATGTCCAGTGGGGCCTGGAGGGAAGTCAGGTCAGCCATACTGAGGGAGTCCTCTTGAAGAGCTGATTCAGGTATATGATTTTCTGTGGCAAGAATCTGTAGAGGAATTCCTCAGCCTCCTGGAAAAGATTCTGCCTGAAGACCTCCACCTGTTTGCGGGCCTTCCTGCTCAGGCACTCCCCACAAGGCTTGGCCATGCTGCTTCAGGTTGCTAGATCTCTGGTCTCTGTTCATTTTTCTTCTGTTTTTTTTTTTTTTCTCTGTTTTCAGATTGGATAATTTCATTGCTCTATCTTCAAATGCATTAATTCTTTTTCTCTTCTGCTGCCTCACATCTGCTTTGGGCTCATCTAGTGATTTTTTTCACTTTGTTTATTGTACTTTTCAACTCTAGACTTTCCATTTGGTGCATCTTTAAATTTCTTTTTCTCTACTGAAATTCCCTTTTTAGAGTCATTGTCATCATATTTTCCTTCAATTCTTTGAACATAGCTTCTTTTCATTCTTCAGACATTTATGATAGTTGTTTTATTTTTATTTTATTTTTCTCCCGGCCACAGCAATGACAGTTATTTTAAAGTCCTGTCTGCCTAATCACTCTGGTTCCACTCAGGTCAGTTTCTATTGATTGTTTTGAGGGGCTTTTTCCCCTCATTATGTATGGATTACATTTTCCTCTTTCTTTGCATGCTCAACTTTTTTTTTTTTTTTTTTTTTGAAATGAAGTCTCACTCTGTCACCCTGGCATTAAGTTGGCTCACTGTAGCCTCTGCCTCCTGGGTTCACATGATTCTCCTGCCTCAGCCTCCCAAGTAGCTGGGACTATAGGCACGTGCCTGGCTAATTTTTTTTATATTTTTAATGGAGATGGGGTTTCACCATGCTGGCCAATCTGATCTGAGACTCTTGACCTAAGGTGTCTACCTGCTTCAGCCTCCCAAAGTACTGGGATTAAGGTGTGAGCCACCGTGCCCAGCCTGCATGCCCAACTTTTATTGCCGCAAACTGGATGTTTTAGATAATATGTGGCAGCAAGTCCTGATTCTGATTTTTGTAATTGTCCTCCAGCATTCCATGTGTGTGTTTATTCAGTAACTTGCATGGACTTAGTCTGCAGGCTCTGTCTCCCAAGCAGTATGCAGCAGCTGATGTCTGCGCTCAGTTTTTAAATCTTATCTGTATTCTTTGGGCTGAATTCCTAGGAGCTACCTACGGTCAACATAGCTTTGTGGTCAGTAAAATGATTTGAGCAGAAGTTGTGCTCAGACCCCTTGAGCCCCTAGGACTCCTCCTGATGGATCTGTGTGTAGGTTTTGAAGCACATTCAAAGTTCAGCTAGTTCTCATGTTGGCTTCAGCTTTGACTTTTTATCAGACTCTGTTAGGGTGTTTATACAGCCCGTCTGTCTGTCTCTCCTTTCCAGGATCTTCCCCATTAAGTTTCTGACTTGTTTCTCACTCACAGTTCACTGTAACCGGGACTGCAACCTCAGACTCTCAGAGCTGCAAGTTTTTCCTGTTTGCTTTCTGTGTTTTCTGTCAAGCTTACCACTTTTACCAACGTTATTCCTGAGCCTGGTTTTCAACTTTCACCCCAAATCAAGTCAGCTCCCCTGCCCAGGCAGTGAAGCAGCTGGTTTTCCTGACCAGCTTTGCCTGATAAAACTAACTTGCTGACCAAGTTAGTGGGTGTGGATGGGAATATCCCCAGGAAAGATGTCTACAGACATTCATTACTCTTACCCAATTCTAGCCATTTTTCATGAATAAATGTCTCAATTTGCTGTTTGCCTGGGATCCATTTCCAGAGCATTGAAATGGTGGGTTTTTTTTTTTTATAATTTTATCTAATTTAATACTTGTTTTGGGGGGACTGGATTCCTGCCTATTCTAGTCACTTAGCTTGAAATCCCACCTTCTAGACTTTTTTTTTCAGACAGTGCTTCACTTTTGTTGCCCAGGCTAGAGTGCAATGGCACGATCTCAGCTCACTGCAACCCCTGTCTTCTGGGTTCAAGCAATTCTCCTGCCTCAGCCTCCTGAGTAGATGGGATTACAGGCAAGTGTGCCACTACTCTCTGCTAGTTTTGTATTTTTAGTAGAGACAGGGTTCTCCATGTTGATCAGGGTGCTTTGCCCACCTCGGCCTCCCAAAGTGCTGGGATTACAGGCATGAATCACCATGCCTAGCGTTTTTTTTTTTTTTTTTTTTTTGAGATGGAGTCCAGCTTTATTGCCCAGGCTGGAGTGCAGTGGTAGGATCTCAGCTCACTGCAGCCTACACCTCCCGGGTTCAAGTGATTCCTCTGTCTCAGCCTCCCAAGTACCTGGAATTACAGGCTCCTGCCACCATACCCAGCTAATTTGTGTATTTTTAGAAGAGATGGGGTTTTGTCATGTTGATCAGGCTAGTCTCAAACTCCTGACCAGAAAGGCAGAGGTGTTAGCTGGGTGCAGTGGCTCAGGCCTGTAATCCCAGCACTTTGGGAGGCTGAGGTGGGTGGATCACCTGAAGTCAGGAGTTCTCAACCAGCCTGGACAACATAGTGAAACTAAAATACAAAAATTAGCCGGGTGTGCTGGCAGGTGCCTGTAATCCCAGCTACTTGGGAGGCTGAGGCAGGAGAATCATTTGAATCAGGAAGGCGAAGGTTGCAGTGAGCCAAGACTGAACCATTGCACTCTAGTCTGGGCAACAAGAGTGAAATTCCATCTCAAAAAAAAAAATAGAGAAATGCAGAGATGTTGCCTTTGTCTGACTAGGTTGCAGGTTTCCCCTTGCCCTTCAGACCATCTGTGTCTAGTCAACCCCTCCATGATTCCAGCTCTTTTAAGTCAGCTTGCCCAAGTTAACCAAGGTCTGGAGATTGATGATGCAGAAGGAGCACAGTGACCATGAGCAGGAGCTGGAAGAAGAGGGTCAATCTTCATCCAGTCAATGTCTCTAAGAACTGTGAGCTCGGGAGAGGATGAAGAGTGATCAGAAAGAAGAATGTTCAACCAGACTTCACACCTTGTTTGGACATCCACCTATAACTTCAGATGCAGACACACGTGGGTGGTTTCTGCTTACCTCAACGAAGGCTGCCAGTACAGCCAAGCCGTCCTCCGCATCTTTGGCTGTCTCATAGCTCTGGTATTTGGAATTGTAGTGAACAATGTGAATCTGTAAGAACAAGGTAGGGTGGGTCAAGGGCAGTTCACAGCAATTCAAATGCTTATGGTTTCCAGGAAAGAAGGAGGAGAAAGAAAGGGGCTCCATCTGAGGCCTCAGACCGTTCCACACCAGAAACTTGGACCTCCATCTCCCTCCCTCTGAACTGCAAATCCGATCTATCATGACTAGAAACGTCCCCAAGAATGGAAAGAACAAGAGTGGGATTCTGGATGATGGTAGTTCCAGGCTGTTTCCCTGACCACACCTCCCTCCAGGCAGATGAGCTGGCAGAGCTGGGGTTCTCCTGGGGTGTCTGGGGGTTTACAGGGAGGGTGAGCTTGCACCCCCTTGTTCCAGACAGCCACTGTTAAATTATAGTCATCTTAAAGATGGATTCTGGCAAAAGAGGGAACTCAAAAAATCTAACACAGGCCAGGTGTAGTGGCTGATGCCTGTAATCCAGCACTTTGGGAGGCCGAGGTGGGCGGATCACTTGAGGTCAGGAGTTTGAGACTGAGACCAGCCTGGCCAACGTGGTGAAATGCCATCTCTACTAAACAATTAACTAGGTGTGGTGGCAGGTGCCTGTAATCCCAGCTTCTCTGGTGGCTGAGCCAGGAGAATCACTTGAACCCAGGGGACGGAGGTTGCAGCGAGCTGAGATCAGGCCACTGCACTACAGCCTGGACGAAAGAGTGAAACTACGTCTCAAAAAAGAAAAGGAAAGAAAATCTAACACATAGAAATCCAGCTGAAAGAAAGGAGAGTTCACCACACCCTGTGGGCTGTTGTCCTGCAGCCCGAGTACTGCGAGGGCAGGAGCTTGCCCCGGTCACCAGTCAATAGCTGTCGAGTGAATAAAAAATAAAACTTCAGGATGACATAACTGCTACCATTGCCGAGTCTTTGGCTGTTTTTGTTTGTTTTGTCCCTCAGATTGGAGTGCAGCAGCATAATCAGGACTCACTGCAGCCTCAACCTCCTGGCCTCAAGCGATCCTCCCCCCTCAGCCTCCTCAGAAGCTGGAACTATACGCATGTGCCACCACTCCAGGATAATTTATTATTATTATTTTATCTTTTTGTAGACACAGGATCTCGCTATGTTGCGAACTCCAGGGCTCAAGCAATTCCCCTGCCTTGACCTCCCAAAGTGCCAGAATTACAGGCATGAGCCAGCTCACCCGGCCTTGGCTGTTTTAATAAGAAAAGTGACAGCCGGGCACTGTGACTCACACCTATAATTCCAGCACTTTAGGAGGCAGAGGCTGGTGGATCACCTGAGGTCAGGAATTCGAGATTAGCCTGGCCAACATGGTGAAACCCCGTCCAGCCAATGTTTTGTAAAAATACAAAACTTATCAGGTATGCTGGCATGTGCCTGTAATCCCAGTTACTTGGGAGGCTGAGGCAGGAGAATCACTTGAACCCAGGAGGCAGACGTTGCAATGAGCTGAGATTGCGCCACTGCACTCCAGCCTGAGCAACAGAGTGAGAAGAGAATCTGTCAATAAATAAGTGACTACAGGGTTCGAAGGAAAGAGGATGCAGTGGGGGTCATCACTACCTCGATCACGTGTCTGATCCCATCCACGGTGTGCTCAGAGCCGCTGATGTCCGAGGATGCACCACCCCAATGAAAGTGCATCTGCTGGGCTATGTACACGGTGCCATTGGCATCTGTTATTCGCATGGTGTCAGGCAGGCTGATCTGCACTGGAGAGACGAGGTGGGGTTGAGAGGTGCAGGTGAGCACAGAGGGGTCAGGCCTGCAGGCTGGGGAGCTTCTCTGCTCATTCCCACCTGTCTGAGCCAGGGACAAGATCGTATCATAGACTGGCTTAGAATGCCATGAGCAGGGTCATCGAAGGGGAAGAGGCGTTTGCACACAGGGCACAGGGTAAGATCAGGATGGAGGCCAAGCCCTGAGGAAACCAGGTTGGGCAGGTGCCTCTCCCTAGCACACTCCTCCCCGCCCAGAGCCCACGGACCAGCGGCAGGGACACACAGTGGCAGGTCCAGCTTGGAAAAGGACCCCAGCAAAGGGAAGGTCCTGAAAAACTTACGGCCAGTGGGCGTGGAAACTAGAATTCTACTCTATCTCTGGCCAATTTCAGAATTTGCCGAAGGTGTCGGAATAGGAAATGGGGCCTCTTAGAACTGTTTTTTCTTTTTCTTTTTTTTTTTGACACTCACTCTGTTGCTCAGGCTGGAGTGCAGTGGCACGATCATGACTCACTGTAGCCTTCAACTCCCGGCTTCAAGTAATCCTCCCACCCCAGCCTCCCAAGTAGCTTGGACTACAGGTGCACACCACCATGCCCAGCTAATTTTTGTATTTTTAGTAGAGACGGGGTTTCACCACGTTGGCCAGGCTGGTCTCAAACTCCTGACCTCAAGTGATCGAACTACCTTGGCCTCCCAAAGTACTGGGATTACAGGTGTGAGCCACACCACGCCCGGCAAGATCTTCCTATTTAAAGTCCTCAAATAGGACTTTGATGATTTCAAGTCATCAAAGGTGGTTGTGCCCAAGAACATGTTTTCTGGAAGACAGCAAGTAGGAGGTATTTAAAACCTGTCAGATGCCTCCTTCCTTTCTAAATTGTCTAAAGGAGCAGGGAGCTGTGATTAAATTTATAACGTCATGTGCTGTAACGCAGGAATCTGGCCTGAAAGGTTTTCACCGGCCCTTTGGCAGAACAAGTGCTTTGTATTTAGAGCTGGAAATGTGGCTGGCCTCAAAAATCAATGCTTGCAAGAAAAGGATGGATGGTAGAGCCTTAAAAGGATTCGTGCAAAGTGAATGGAGCCAAGGAGCTGAGGACCCCAACAGAGCTCCCTAAATGGGCAGTAAGCACCACAGGAGAAATGAGAGAGGTCCCCACAGTTTCATTTCCCCAAAACACCGGAGACAGGATGTGTCACTTCCGGTCACACTGACAGGCCCTCAGTGGCCCAACTGGAAACCAGCCACAACCCTGAGCCTGTCGCTGTGCTTTTGAAAAGGAGAGGCCAAAAGTTAACTGGCTGTCCCCAAAAGTCAGCTGGCTGAAACTTCCAGATGCACAAAGGAACTCAGCTTCCAGAAGAGGCTGATCCCCTTCATGGGAACTCAATTTCACCAATTTCTTATCAGAAGAGAAAAAGCTACATAATCCAAGCATTTGCTGCGCTCAAGAAACAGCAAACTGTCGAGGGTGGTGAAAGTCAAAGATGAAGAAACTGACTGCGACTGGAGGAGACTTAAAGAGAACTGATGGTTCTGAGTGCAGCGTGGAATGCAGGATTAGAGCCTGGGCCAGAGAACCACAGGAATGAGAAAGTGATGTCAGCGAAATGAGGGCTGGAGTTACTGCGTTGTATCATTTGAATTCCTTAGTTCAATAATAATCGTACAATCGTTATAAGATGTTAGTATTAGGGGAAGTGGGTGAAGAGCATACAGGAAATCTCTGTACTACTTTTGAAATTTTTCTAGTGAAAAGCTATTTCACTGAAAGTTGAGGCTGGGCAAATTATGGTGCTCACACCTGTAATCCCAGCACTTTGGGAGGCCGAGGCAGGTGGATCACTTGAGGTCAGGAGTTTGAGACCAGCCTGGCCAACATAAAGAAACCCCATCTCTACTAAAAATACCAAAATTAGTCAGGTGTGGTGATGCAGACCTATAACCCCAGCTACTTGGGAGGCTAAGGCAGGAGAAGCCCTTGAAAATAGGAGGCGGAGCTTACAGTGAGCCAAGATCACAGCCACTGCACTCCAACTAGAGTGACAGCGTAAGACTCTGTCTCAAAAAAAAAAAAAAAAAAAATTGAAAAAAAGGAACAATTGGCCTCCCACCTCCCTGCCGAGCATTCAAAGATCAAACCCTGTGCAGAATTCTGCATTACTCATAGGCGCCTATCTGGGGATGTTTTCTTTTATGTTCAAGTCCTTTCTGCTCAAATGCACCATTCGGTGAACATTTTTAATCTGCTCTGTCAGGATCTGTGGCAGGTACTATGATGAAAAGATGAGTAAGTGATTGTCCCTATATTCAAGGAACTTCATAAAGTAGCCAATAACATGTATTAAGAAAACAGTATGTATTAAGAAGACACTAAACACTAGAGGTCCAGTACCTCAGGCATTTAAGCTTTTCTGCAGCCTCTAAGATGTATTTTGGAAATTTTTAAATATGTATTTTATTGAGATAGGGTCTTACTCTGTCACCCAGGCTGGAGTGCAGTGACACGACCTCAGCTCACTGCAGTCTCGACCTCCCAGGCTCAAACAATCCTCCCACCTCAGCCCCTCAAGTAGCTGGGACTACAGGCACACACCACCATGACCAGCTAATATTTATTTATGGAGATGGAATTTCGCCATGTTGCTCAGGCTGGTCTCAAACTCCTGGGCTCAAGCAATCCACCTGCCTTGACCTCTCAAAGTGCTGGGATTGTAGGTGTGAGCCACCACACCTGAACAATATATATTAATGGATCTAGGCGTACCAACTGTTACTAGTCTGCAGCAAAAGAGAGAAACTGGGAGTTCGTTTTAGAAATTTTGTAGCAATTTGTCTCTGTCTCAACAGCCTGTGTTTCAATTTGAATTCCTCTTTATTGAAATGTTGAACGGGGCATGCCTGTAATCCCAACACTTTGGGAGGCCAAGGTGGATGGATCACCTGAGGTTGGGAGTTCAAGGCCAGCCTGACCAACATAGAGAAATCCCATCTCTACTGAAAAAACAAAATTAGCCAGACATGGTAGCACATGTCTGTAATCCCATCTGCTCAGGGGGCTGAGCAGGAGAATCGCTTGAATCTGGTAGGCAGAGGTTGTGGTGATTGGAGATCATGCCATTGCACTCCAGCCTGGGCGACAAGAGTGAAACTCTGGCTCCCAAAAAAACAAAATCTTGAATCTAATTTAAACTTACTTTAAAAACGAGGAGCCTGGGCCTGGTGGCTTACACCTGTAATCCGAGCACTTTGGGAGGCCAAGGGAGGCAGATCACCTGAGGTCAGGTGTTCAAGACCAGCCTAGCCAACTTGGGGAAACCTCATCTCTACTAAAAATACAAAAATTGTCCAAAAATATGGACAAAAAATTTATATAAGGAGAATCATAAAACTGATGAAATAAATGAAGAAGAACTACATACGTGGAGAAATATTCCATGTTTACAGATAGGAAGTCTTAATACTGTCCCAGTGTTAATTCTTTCCAACTTGGTCTATATATTACCAAAAAGGGGTCCCAATCCAGATCCCAAGAGAGGGTTCTTGGATCTCACACAAGAAAGAAAGAATTTGGAGTCAGTCCATAGAAGAAAGCAAAAACAAGTTTATTAAGAAAGTAAAGGAATAGACCAGGTGCAATGGCTCATGCCTGTAATCCCAGCACTTTGGAAGGCCAAGGCAGGCAGATCACTTGAGGTCAGGAGTTCAAGACAAGCCTGGCCCATATGGCAAAACCCCATCTCTACTAAAATTACAAAAATTAATGGGGCATGGTGGTGTGCACCTGTAATCCCAGCTACTCGGGAGGCTGAGGCATGAGAATTATTTGAATCCAGAAGGCAGAGGCTGCAGTTAGCCAAGACCAGCCTCAGAGAAAGAGACTGCACTCCAGTCTCCAAAAAAAGAGGAAGTAATAGAATAAAGAATGGCTGCTTCATAAGGAAGGCAGCCCCGAGGGCCACTGGTTGCCCAATTTTATGGTTATGTCTTGATGATATGCTAAACAAGGAATGGATTATTCGTGCTACCCCTTTTTAGACCGCATAGGGTAATTTCCTGATGTTGCCATGTCATCTGTAAACTGTTGTGTCATTAGTGGGAGGGTAGCAGTGAAGACGACCCGAGGTCACTCTCATGGCCATCTTGATTTTGGTAGGATTTGGCCAGCTTCTTTATTGCAACCTGTTTTATAAGCGAGTTCTTAGGACCTGTGTCTTGTGCTGACCTCCTGTCTCATCCTGTGACTTACAATGCCTTAACCTCCTGGGAATGCAGTCCAGTAGGTCTCAGCCTTATTTTATCCAGCCCCTACTCAAGATGAGGTCATTCTTGTTCAAAAGCCTGTGACGTTACTATACAATCATGTATGCTCTTGGTATTTACCTACATGGGTTGAAACACAGAAACCTGCACATCGATTTTTTTTTTTTTTTTTTTTTTTTTGAGACAGAGTCTCGCTCTGTTGCCCAGGCTTGAGTGCAGGAGTGCAGTGGTGCAACCATAGCTCACTGCAGCCTTGACCTCAAGCGAGCCTCGTACCTCAGCCTCCTGAAGCTAGGACTATATGTGTGAGCCACCATGCCCAGCTCATTTTTCAATTACTTTTGTAGGTCTCACTACATTGCCCAGGCTGGTCTCGAATTCCTTGGCTCAAGTGATCCTCCCGCCTTGGCCTCCCAAAGTATTGGGATTATAGGCATGAGCCACCACACCTGGCCTGCACACAGGTTTTACGACAGCTTTATTCATAACTGCCAAAACTGAGAAGCAACCCAGATGTCTTTGGATAGGTGACTGGATAAACTGTAATTCATCCAGACAATAGAATATTATTCAGCACTAAAAAGAAATGAGCTATCAATCCATGAAAAGACATGGAGGAACGTTAAATGCACATTACAAAATGAAAGAAACCAATGTGAAAAGGTTACATGCTGTGATTCCAACTGCATGACATTTTAGAAAAGGAAAAACTATGGGTCAAATA